AGACCAAAGAGGATGTCAACGGTGTCAGCCTTGGTTTTGAACCCGCAGGGCACAAACGCGATAAATGCAGCTGAATTGTTAGCCTTGCGCTCGGCAAACACTTCAGCGATCGTAGGTCTGTAGCACAGCACTCAAACGATTAGTAATGCATTGCGGTACCGTAACAACATGGCTTAGACCTGGTCATTTTGCAACTGATGATCAATTCGACGTATACTTGTTATCTATTCTTGTTTTAACCAATCAGTAGCGAGTATCATACGCATAATACGGATTTTGCCATAGTAGCTTTTTATTGCCAATCGGATGAGACGAGAGCAATTTCACTTCTTGAGCAGACCATTTTTCTTTGGCTGGATGTGGCTACGTATACCGCATGTGGAGCAAATGGGTTGAAACTCACAAAATAGTGACAGACACACGGGACACACATACGCCGTGGAGATCACTTCGCGATGGCAGAAACACATCGCGCGAAAGTCTACTGAGTCCTGTGATGGCAGCCTTAGTAGTTTGCGCATGTAGGGATCTGGCAGATAGATCGAGATCAAATACTGCAGCATTCCGCTGTGGTCCGTAGGCTTGTAATAGATACCACCAGTAAGATATGCTGCCTGTTGCATAAATGATGAGTGCTCTGCCGCAAGAATGCATGCGTCCACCGCAACATTCTTCTTCTGAGCCGAAAAAATGCCATTCATGATGGCAATGTAGTGCTCCGACACATCCGACGACTTTTGAACAATCAAAATTCGCGGCCGGAGATCCGCCTCTTCATTAATAGCCCGATTGATGACTACGCTCCATTATCACAGCAGTGGGTCAGGTTTGTAACATAAACAATCAGCATAATTGTATCAGTATCATAACAGCTTACAGCAAAGTGAACGTGACAACGATGCTGCGATGGCCGTTTGATTAGGCTTAGCCGGATCCAGCGGAGTGTCGCTGAGTTGCTGCAGACGCTGCAAAAGGCCAGCATTGACCTCAGCGGCCTGTTCTGCACTCCCAGTAGTGTCATCTTGCTCTAAATTCGGAAAGAGGATGGCACTCTTGTTGGCGTGGGCTGCAATAATCACGATGCGATTGCTGCGGTGGAGCAGCAGATAAGAGTTTACAAACACGAGCATGCTGGATATAAGCGTTTGCAGATCTCCACGAGCGCCCGGAATGTTTCCGCCCTGCGCGAACCAGTGCACCGGGTTGGTGTCGATCACTAACACAAGTAATCCTCCATTCGACTCACCGCTGGTTGCCATCTTTTCACATGAAAAATGTACGAGTATGTTGGGTACTAGTACCCGATCTTCTCCTAAATTCTGTTATATATAAGGGAGAATAAAAAAAGAGAGAATAAAAAAATGCTCAACTTTTGCCATATATAAAAAAAATATCCCAACTTTTCAAAAAATAAAAAAAAATAC